TAAAAAGTTCATTGACAAGCAGTTTCATCATTGGGTGCTTTTTAATTAGTAACACCTTTGCAGTAACATAAAACACCAAACATTTGTGTTCAGTATCTCTTTGTGAGCCAGTGACTACAATTGTAATTAATAGCAAAATAGCAACAACAGAAATAAATGAATCAGTCAAAAAAATTGACACTTAATAAAAAGAAATGTGCAGTAGACATGTGCAGATACATTAAACCTTGCTTGTCAATGGACTTTTGTTTTTAAACTAATAAATTTGCAACATTTCTGCAAATGTTCCAAGCAAGCGTCCCAAGACTTTCTATAAGTACTGTGTGTGTGTGTGTGTGTCAAGAGAAGGAAAGAAATAAATATTATAACGAATAATTATAAGATGCTGAGGCTGTTAACTGGATTTGATTTACAACACAGCAGCATTGAGAACTGGAAATGACAATACCAAAGATTTGACTGTAGCTTGACTGCAAAGAAGGTCAAATGCAATACCTGCTATTCCTTCTTGTAGCTGCCAAAGACACAATGGAAATGTGCAATATTCCTTCATGTCTGAAGATGCTGATAAAAAGAATAGTCTAATAATAATCTTGGAGAAATATAAGGAGTACTTTAACTCAAAAAAAATATAAAGCATGTCAAGTTTTTAAATATGAATTCACAGGGACATATTGATTAGCCATTCCAAGGGCCCCAGAGGGACAGAGGCCCTAAAAAATTGAAACATAACTGGATTGGTCTGGGTAGTGGCCCCACAGTCTGTAGCAGTCCTTCTGTAGACAGCCACGGCAATTTAGTTTGAACAAAGCAAAATATAAGGAAATCAAATGCTTAGGCAACATTCTCTCCAAAGATGGCTTGAAACCGGATCAGAGTAAAATAGAAACAATTACAAGAATGTCCACACCAGAATACAAAAAAAAATCCTAGGGATGGTCATATTCTAGGCAAAGTTGATCCCAAACATCCTGGCGTTACATGAACTTACCAGGGATAAGATTATGTGGCAGTAGCAAGATGAACATCAATGAACCTTGCTGTAATCTAAGCTAACAGGCCTCTTTACTCCTGTATTATGATATGTTTACTGGCAAAGCTTTCCATTGACACATCTAAAAATGGTCACAGAGTTACCTTACTTCGAGAAGGAAGACTGGTGGCCTATATGTCAAGAACATTGATGGAAACAGAATAATACAATGTTATGGGTCACATGTTACCCATCATCTAATGGCTACATCCAGCAGGATAATGCACAATACCATAAAACACAAGGTATCTCAAACTGGCTTCTTGAACATAATAAGGGTTCTCTGAAGTGTTCTGCCCAGAGTGAACGTTCTGGGACTCCACATGACCTAAATGGTGTCACAGAAAACTAGAAGAGACCCCCGGGGGTCCAGAAAGCAGCCGTTTCATTAGAACGGGCACTCAGATGGACTTGCAAATTATCTTTCCACTAATCGAAGGTTGTCAGAAATTTTGCTCTGTGACACTATTCTGTCTGTAGTCTGCATAGAACCATAGACTACCATCTTTTTAGGCATTAACACCACATTCTCAGTAATCCCTGGCCTATTTACTACTCAGATCATCCTGGTAAACGGAAGGGGTTCGTCATGCCCCATGCTGAGCTGTAAAGTCCACCCAAGCACTGGCACCCGTCAACTCCTACAGAAGCAGGCTAACTGGTATGATACCAGTACCTTCATCCAGGCATCCTGCTACAAATGAGTCATGTCCTGAGCAATATTTCTCAGCTCTGTTTCACCTCCATTACCTTCTGCAGCTCCATGCTCCTCTATTCTTTCACTTCTGGCCTTTTTCTTGACACAGGAAGAAAGTCAGAAGAAAAAAGGGGGAAAATGCAGGGAGAATAGAAAAAATAAAAAAATAAAACTACCACTGACTACTGCCACCTGAAGGGTGTCACTTTCTAACAGGCTGGTCCTGGCCATTGAAATCAAAGACAGGGAAAGGGTGCGAAAATAACAGATATTTATTAAGGTTTTTGTAAATAAGACAAAAATATGCCAAACAACAGAGGGAAAAAGGTTGAAAAAACAAAAAGGGAAGAACGAATGAAAGATCCTGGGCATTGTTTACAAACAGTAGGGGGACTGCATTAATGAAAACAACAAGTCCATATGACTCGACATCTGCTATAACCTCTTATCCAGGAGGACTCAAAGAGGTCTATTATATAGCAGAGCAAAGCAGAAAAACCAGGAGAACTAACAACAGGGCAGATTCAAACCTTTTTGTGGGCCTTAATCAATTGACATAGTACAGTAGTTATCTTCATTCCCATTCTGACAGGCTGATCAGACGCCGAGGCCTAAGCAGCCACTTAGTTACCTTCGGCAGACCCTGACTACCCACTCCCTGACCCAACATGAGGGTTTACCAGATATACTATAGTTTCTAGCTCCACAGAATGGCAGAGCGGAGCATTGAAACAACAAATGCCACAAAGCATAAAAACGTCATAGAACCAAGATTCATATACATATTGGCCAACATAATATGCACGCAAGAAAACTACCCATGTCCTGCTACCAGTGCATTCCATTAAACAAGCGATATCCCAAAGTAAACAGGCTCCTTCCTGCTGTTTCTCTGGCCCCCATGACTGAAACAAATTGTTTAATCTACCGTCCTCAATGTGAACCAAGCAAATTCACAGAAGTTTACTACTGGTGCAAATTAGCTACTGCACTTCCAGGCAACAGGTAACAGAAGACATTTTCCTTCTACATATCCATGTTAACTAAGCTCATGCACTAACTCATTATGACAATATTAAAAGTCGGTAAACCAAGCGTATGATGTCTCCCCTTCTGAAAAATAAAAGTTTGTTGATACGTGCGTAGTATGGATGAAATGGTGTGACCGCTCCCAAACATCATGTAGCTGCTGGTGGAAATAAATAAAAACAGCAAAACCACTAGATATAAGCAAATACTACAGAGTAACCACCAGAACTGCTAGCTTTTATTTGCAAATAAATATTCTCATAAATAGGCATATATGTATATATATATATATATAGTCTGTGGGACCTGACAAATGTGTCCTTGGAAATGATAGAAAAATAAAATACAAGAATTATAGATACTTGTACTTTGTACAAAATATGACCTCCCTTTGCTTAGCAGTACTGTGTGCTAAACAGTGGTTCTCGTCCCCTGTTCCTTTAGGCCTGTGAGAGCGATTCTGTACTTCTGTGAGTCGTGGACATCTTCTGTGCAGGAATACGCCGAGTGCCCTCGCTGTCCAGAAAACGTGGCTGTCACCAAGCAGCACATCTGCCTGAGGCCTGCTTGTCAGGTAAACATGGCAATTGTTGCATCATCAGAAGACATTCGCTCGTCCGTGCGAGGGACACGCATTTGCCCGTTAATTCCTGACTGAGCTCTGTGTGTAGATCGCTGCTCCTCTGTGCCGTTTGCGGAAGCACTTTGCTTTACAGGTAAGCGTTAGGGAGCAGGTGAGCTAGCTGCTTGCACACTCTCATTCTGGAGGAGCTGTACACCATGCAAACATTGATTGTCATTATATATTTCTTTCCCATTTCTCTGATCTCCTAACCTTCTTCACAAATGGATCCCTTCCTCAAAGTACAAAAGAAAGAATTGACCAAAAGCACAGGGTAAGGGTGTATAACATTCAGGTATCTTAATCTCACCGGGGCTGTTTCATTCTTAACCATTAGCCTTTCCACGGCACTGATGTCCGCTGTCCCAGATTGCCTGAGGTGAAAACTGTTGTACATTAAAAGTCTGTAGTTAAGTACAAAAGTGGACTGTTTTTCCAAGTCGCCTTTTGCTTTTGAAACAACTGCATATATTGCTGAAGTAAATAATGCTGTAATTGAAAAAAAAATCTAAACAAAATTTAGATTTTCTAAGGGTTTCACATACAGGACTTCACTTACCTAAATAGCAGGTTAAGATAATAATTGGTAAATTGATCATACACTTAAAATTTGAAAACATTCAGTAGTCTGTACTAAAAAAATGGGCACTCAACTGTTTTCAAGTATTACCATATTGTATATCTTGGGAAGAAGATATAACAAATTAACAATATACAGTGGTACCTCAGAACTCGAACTGAATCCGTTCAGAACTCGGGTTTGAATCCTAAAAACTTGGAGTTCTGATCGAATTTTTCGCCATAAGAAACAATGGAAAACCAATTAATTGGTTCCCGGCCCCCAAAAATTACACCTAAATATGTTTTTTTTTTTTTAGCATTTAAACACAAAAAGAACCGGATAAAACCAGAAGAGCATATACTGTACTAAACACATCTAAGCACATTTATCAAAACAGTAATTTGTAAAGTAAGAAAATAAATGTATCCAAACAATGTGTAAAGTTAAAAAAAAAACCCAATGTGTCCTGCCCCGATCGTCCGCTCCTTCCGTGTGCCACGCCCCCTCTTTAACCCCGTGTGGAATACCCGTTGGTCAGCTGTTTCTGGTTGTTATCATTAGTCCTCTGTATTTAGTCTGCATTTAAGTTTGTTTCCCCAGTCCGGTCATTGTATTGTCTGTCTGCGTTTTGCCTGCCTTACCTGTAATTAAACCCCGTATTCCCCGATACCCTGACGTCTGCGCCTTTGTCTCCGTTCCGTCCCCGCTCGGCACGACAATATTATAATTAAACGTATTAATGGTTTATTATTAATGATATTAAAATAATTAATAAGAAATCTTTATTTTTAAATGTCTTTTATTATATTATAATAATTACTGTTACTGTCTATCATTGTCTAAATGTATTTTTACTGTCTAAATATACAGTATGTATTCAGCTAGTGTAAACATGCACGATGCTATCACAGCCAATGCGAGACTGAGACTGAAGCGTTACCCTTTGTTTCCGCTGAGAGACGTGCCACGTGACTCATTTCCTCGTGCGTACAAGTTATCTTAGGTCGGCGTTCACGATTCGACTTCTGAGATTCAGATCGAGTTCTAGGTCATTTTTTTCCGAACTGGTTGGTTCGACTTTTAAGAAATTCGAGTTCTAATGAGTTCGAGTAATGAGGTACCACTGTATTATGATTTCTACTTTAAAATAATGAATACATTAGTTTGATTTGCATTTTTGATAGCAGCTACAGGGTCACAAAACATAGAAAATAGTAGTAGATCACATCCCCAAATCTACCATACAATTCTAAATATCAATGCCGTTGCTGCAGACACAAACACTTGTTGCAACAAGAAATACAATCTCCTTTTGAGCAGCAAACGTTATGAGGGTCATTGTTCCTTGTCTGGCTAATGCAGCTGCATTCAAGCCCAGTCTGGACTGTTGAGTTCATTTCACGGAAGTCAGAGGATGTCAGTTTGTAGGGTGAAAAAGACAGACGGGACTCTCCACATGGAGAAGCAGCCCGACCCGGCTCGACCCAAGCGCTGCCTCATACGTGGAATGCGTCGTCGTGGACATGCAGCAGCTGCAGCCGTAATGTCTGTATGCTGCTCACTATCCGTCTCTGGTGGCCAATTAACGTCACTCCAATTTGCCTGACATCCCTTGGAAGAGGGAAAGGGAGAGAGAATGTAGCATTCACGTATAGACACGCATGCAAATCTGTGTCTACCCCTCACAAAGCCCAACATGGACAAACTTGCACAAACAGGCACCCACATGCTGAAACACACAGCACACCAATGAAAAGCCATTTCTGGTACAAATTGAAATGAGAACATTTTTCTTAAGTATTAATTAGGAGTCTAACGATACCGTTTGCCCATGGTTCAGTATGTATCACGGTTTTGGGGGCATCATAGCGGAAAGGTTTCTGTATCCTTGTATTTAAGATTAAAAACACATCACCCTTTAATTAAATAATGAACTGTTTATTTTTCCAAATAACCATATATTTCGCTTAGTCACATCACTGTGTAACAGTACATGCTATACTATCGAACCGTTTAGTATTCCCCCGATGGTTCGATACACACACGTCAGCCATGGTATTACAATACGCCTGTCATTTTCCTATACGTACTGGTGCAAATATAAGATGGTGTTTCCTGCCACCCCTAAAAAAAATGACAAAAAACTAGGGTCGCCTTATATTCAAGGACTCAAACTTAAATGTCATTATACAACAACAGATGGCGTACCGAACGGCTCGATAATATACCGTGGCCTCAAAACTGTGATATATACCGGACTGTGGGCAAACAGTATCTATACACCCCTAGTATTGATGAAATGTCTGGACTGGTTTATTTAATGATTTATTATTAACTCAGGGTTGCCAAATTTGGTCAGCTGGCTGGAGTGGGCTTTTCAATTCGAAACTAGTCTGCAGTCTCTGCACACACATGCACATGCATTTACATGTATGTAAGTTTTATTACCCTGTGAATAGTTTATTAAGTTTGCAAACTACCCCGGCACTTTTGACATGGCTAATTTTAAGTTTATAATGGAATTATATAGATTTGCTGTAAGATTTCTCACATGAGTGTGAGAGTCTGAAAGCGTGAGCCAGATGTGTGAGAGGTGGCAACCCTGAATAACTATTAGGAAACATGTAACCTTCGTATCTCTTTGTAGAACTCACTCAATGGTCATTCTTGAGACAGAGTCCAGTGTAGTGTAGCCTGCAGCCAAGAAATAACTCTTGTATTGGCTCATTTTAATTGAGTCCAGCCAATCACTAATAGAGATGAACAGGGGGTAGTCGGAGACATCTCCGGGGGATTCCGGGAAACTGTGTAGATTGATTAAAAAAAAAAAAGGAAAAGGTAAGATACAGAAAAAGTAGCTTGGATTCTATTTGGTGTCAATCTACAGGTCAAACAGAATGAGGCAGCCAATTAACAGCCCTCAGACTGTTTAGTTTAACATTTTCCTTTCCCACCAGAGCTGGTCAGCCTTAGTATCTTCTAAGCCCCACCTTTGGATATCTTCCACCAGCATGAGCAGGCTGCTGGGGTTACGGATCAGCTTGTCCAGGAAGCTGACGACGTCGGTGAACTTGGGCCGAAGGCTCCTCTCCTTATTCCAGCAGTGCAGCATGAGTTGATGCAGAGCTACAGGGCAGCCCATAGGCGCAGGTAGACGGTAGCCCTCCTCTATGGACAGGATAACCTGCAAAGGCACCATCCCGGTCAAGCCCATGGCTGAACAGAGCCTGCAAACCCCCAGCGCACGACAGTCAGCAGACGCAGACTGTCACCTCGTCACAAACCCCCCCCCCCTTGGTGGAGGGTTCCCCCATTTATCCTCTTTGTCTACTTGCCCAGGAATGTGTAAAGACCTATGGAAAGTTTCCCATCTCCATCAATTTACAGAGGACAGTCCTAAGTGATTGCAGATTTGTCTTGTTGGCCTGGGAAAGTGCACTAACACCTTCAGCTAAGACATGGCAGCTAAAGACTGGCAAGGTCTTCATGTGGCTTGTGTGGACAGCGAAAAATAACGTAGCCGCTAAGGTAACAGAGAGCTTCCCTCCCCGTCTGCCATCCTGTGTTCGGGTTTGGTTGGCGTACATGTATGTTCGGAACACCAACATTCCTGCCTGCTGCACCATGCGAGGGCATCTGTAACCACTACACACGTGGCTGAAGGCAACTGCAGAGACACACGTGATGGCACAATCACTCTTAGAGTGTGGATCACAGTTTTTGGATCAGTGATGGATTTTACCCATCAAATACATGTTGTTGATACTCCATCCATCCATCTTCTATCTGCATGTTCAGTGCAGGATTGTGTAGAGCCAGGAGCCTATCCCAGGTCGCACTGGGCAGAAGGCAAGGGAAATCCTACAAGCAAGTGTTACTGATACAGGGGCTCTTTAATTCTGAGGCATATTCATCAAAGAAAATGTGCCTCGTAAAATCTGAGAGCAGTGCCTTAATGGAATTTCAGATCTCGCCTTCCTAATTATTTGATTAAATATGGATCCTGCAATATCCAGATCGTGAATCCAAGAACCACTAAGTCGACGAGAGACATCGTTCTTTTTCATTTGCTGTATAAAAAAACCCTGAAAGGTCTCATCCCTGGCTAGTATATTCAGGAAAACACTGCAGCATCACACTGCACTTCTACAGTCTTACCATCTTCCAGTGTAAAATTACTGCATCTGCTTAACCCCATCTGCCCTCTGGGGACTTCTTAGAAGAAGAATCGCATCAGGTAACGAATCGATCAGTTGGAGTACCATGGTATAGACTCACTGCTCATGGCGCCCTCCATCCATTTGCTAAATGTATCTTGTCTCTATGGCTTTTGTTAAAACAGAGCTACTCTGAAATCCCATGGGGAAGTGTGGTAGGCAAGCAGTTAAAGACCTGGAGATGTAACCAAATGTTTCAAATTCAACCACACTCACCTTGAATTGTTTTAGTAAATTATTCAGTTGTATATCATAAAGTATAAAACTGTACTCAATAGAAGATACTTTATATTCATCGGTGGGTGAAGCTACTCCATTTTACTTACACGGATCGATCCATACATCATTTTCAAATAATGGTAATAGGGGTATTGTTTTATCATACCGTGGTTAGAAAGTAAACATAAAAAGTATCCATGTGAATAAATCTTTGAAGACATTTGCAATATGATTTAAGCATCAGTTGTAGCCAGTTTTTAGTGTCTCATGTGTCCAGTGCCGACTCAAGAGAAGCAGCAGGAGCAGCAGAAAGCTGCCTCCCCCCCCCACAAACATACATATTCTTTGAAAGTGCAAGCCTTTGAATAACTGTCTGGGGAAAGTAAATTTTTTTTCAGCCTTAACAGATAAAACCATACAAAATCTACAGAGGCCTACCAGTGTCACAACTGCAAAATACAGACTTAAAAGGCTTTGGCAAGTGCTGGGTCTTAGACTGTAAGTGGAAAATAACTAGGGATGCTGGATGCAGATTAACGTTCTCTGTATTATTTTATTCGTAATCCAGATTGTTATGGGCTGTGGAGGAATGATGGGAAGGACACTGGTTGAGAATTAAGCAAGAGTCCCAAGACTTCGATACCACGTCAATGACGAGGCTCGAGTTTTGTTGGTTGGCTACATTATCTGCATACGACATCGTAAATCAGTACCTCATAAATAAATGCATTACTTTTACAAAAGAATAAACAGTTTGGTAATTTAACAGTCAGTATTTCTGCTCAATAATTTTCATCCTGCAATGACCCTCCTTATAGTGTCCTGGGTCAGTGAGTCAGTAAGTAATTTATAGCTTTCGATTTCAAAGCAAAAATATATGTTATATATGTATAGTCCTGGGAGGAGGAGAGCTATATGCAAACTTTTTGTGTTCCAATTAGTGTATGATTAACCCCTACTCAACCCTAACCTAAGTAAGTAAGTAATACGTAATTTATATTAGAGCATAAGAATATAAGAAATTTACAAACGAGAGGGGGCCATTTGGCCCATTAAGCTCATTTGGGGAGAACTTAACTAATAGCTCAGAGTTGTTAAAATCTTATCTAGCACTTATTTAAAGGAAGCCAGGGTTTTAGCTTCCGTTACACTAGCAGGAAGACTATTCCATACTCTAACTACACGCTGTGTAAAGAAGCGCTTCCTCAAATTTGTTTTAAAATGTCCTCCCGCTAATTTCCACTTATGG